AAAAAAAAAAAAAATCAACTCGCCCAACATTGGAATGTGAGCAATTCTCTCCTATTACCCAGAAGCAGTCAGCTCAGGAGCTGGTTATGTGTAATGCACCAGTCATAAAGCAGTGGGAGTATGTTAAAAATCAGGGAATGGAGTGCAATGGGGGCTGGGAGGTAGTCTTGGAAATAAGTAGTCCTCTCCCACTCAGCAAGGCAGTTCCATTATCTGAATTAGTGTAAAAATACCCACCCACCCCAAGGAATGCACTGATTCGCTCCCTCCATGCCAAATATCTCTGATTGAGAGTAATTACTTGCTTTTGACAGAGCCCAGCATGGATTTGCATGGAGTGTTTGAGTAGGAGGTGAAAAATCAGCAGCTAATGTGATGGCTTCTGTTTTTGTTTTATTTATTCTGAAACTGTTTTCCAAGCCCAAATAGCAGCCTGCCAGGGAAGGTGTGTCTCTGCTTGGGGTTCATTATAGTTGTTATCTAGAAACGTGTCTCTGGCTAATTGCACTTAGTTTGTGAGTGACAGTCTTTGATTGGGCAGCATACTTCACCCTCCTGGGGAGGGGGGATACTTTTCAGGTCACAGATTAAGTCATTCCTAGATAACAATTTCATGGCATGTTATGGCAGTACATGCTTGGACTAAAGACTACCATCTCTTAACTCTCTCAGATCCTTCCACACATCTGCTGGAAACATGAGACAGGACTTAAACCTTGCAGCTGATTATCTGCCATTTTATAGCAGCATGAGGACATTCACCACTTCAAGCTCACTTCTAATAAGAGCCAGGTATAGAGTTCAGTGACTTCATGCAATGATGTCCAAGTTGTCATTACTAGGAGACTTCCACTCCACTTGGATGCAGAGACAGTAGAGAGCTTCAAGACGCGGCATTTTAAAGAGCAACTCCTCTGAGCAGCCCAAAGGTTCTGGGTAAAATCTCAAGAAACTTGAGGGGTCTTACAAAAAAAATAAAAGTTCTAATAGTAATAATCAAAGCATCACCCTTTGTTGTGCAGTCTGTCAGACAACATTTCTGACCCTATGCCAATTCTGACACTGAGCATGGAGCATTAAAGGCCAACCATGTTCATTCATTAGCAGATTTTGATCTGCAGCTCTTAACTGAGGCCAGCGTTTAGGAAACAATTTGAGGAAAGTACCATTCCTGAGTGTTCCACATTTGCTATTTGAGTTGAGTTGCTTAAGGAAAATGCACAGCACTTTGCTGTCTGATGGGTTTTAGTTATCATCTGCAACACTTAACAAACACAGCATCTCTCTGCTTGCCCTGGCATTTTTCATAGCTCTCATTTTGCACTACCACTAATGTGGGATAACGACACGGATGGCTTGCCATTGGTATTTACACTCACACTGACAGAATTCCTTGGCCATGCAGAGTGCCTCAGCTCTCCCAGCCGATCACAACATTTAACATGAGAGTGTTTTTTGTGAATCTGGTTTGAAATGCATCAGCTCTTGTAATGGTGTAGAGTTCTTGCTTCAGTTTCGTTAGAAGAAAGAAACCTAAGACTGGTTAAATATCTTCAAATGATGCATCTCTAAAGAAATGAAAAAATACAGTTGTTAGAGACAACTACTTTTAAATTCCTACCTAGAATCGTTGTCTCTCATATATAAGGCTCACAGTAGTTGTCAGTGGTGTAATAGCAAACAGCAATGATAGGGTTTGGTCCTGGTTTCCTCAAACAAAAACGATTTGAGCCATGATGAGAACTATTTCCCTGAACTTTAGTGAGGAAATGTTTCCACTTGCTTCCTTGGGAACTGTCATGTTTTTCTAATAGAGGGGAGGCCTTAGGATAGCCTGAGGTCAGCTGGGTCTCTTCTGCAGCTCAATCACTCTAACACACTAACCTTCCTTTTCTGGTGTCTCATTTGTTAGAGGCAGGCCAGCTGTTCTGAAAAGTCAAAGGGGAGTCAAATCTTTCTTCCTGGAGAGTATATGAGCTAGGAGGAGGCAAGAGAGGAAGGAAAGCAGGGGACACAACTGGTCTCTTCATTGCTTTTCTTTATTTCTGTTTTCAGTAGAGCTATAAATGTCACTTCCCTCCTAATGTATCTGGAGAGTGAAGCACTCCTGCTACTGAAAAGGTTCGTGTGACTCCAGCAGTAAGTTTCTGTGCTGAACCCCTTCTCCTTGAAGGAAGCATCTAAGGGCAGGATAGATAGCTGTGCATATCCCTTTCTTGCTACACAGAGCCTGATTTTTGAATGCCTCCTGTTGGTTATGTTTGTTTGTTTGTTTTGGCTTTTGTTTTGGTTTAAAGATCAACTGAAATCACATAGTGGCCTTTATCAGGGCTGTAAAAAGGCAGGGTTCTGCCTCGTATAAAGTTCTTATGTTTCTTTCTTCCCCAGCCATATTTCCTTAGTTGGTTGTCTTAGGGCAGAAAATGAATAAATTAATGAATGAATGGATGCATTCTTTCTTGACTTTCCTGGAAGGTTCCTCAGGTTAACATACTTAGTGTAGGAGGAGAACTGGCTTTGTGTTTGCCTTTGGACTGTTTTGCGAGTATAATAGAATTCAGCTCGTGGGGATGTCAGTCAATTTTGCTTCCTTTCAGTTGCATGGAATTCACTTAGCTTTCTTAACTGAAGTATTCATGATGCTGTAATTATTTTTTTCTTGTGTAGCTTACAATGCTCTGTTGAACAGAGCTCTGAATGTAAGGGTTTAAACAGGCGTTGAGGCAAATGACGCTTTTGTAAGCATTTGTAGTATCTTCAAATCTACAAATGCTTTGTGTAGCTATGAGTTTTCTTCCCTTGCACACCTACACCTGTTGTGTTATGTAGTATCTTGCCAATAAACTGTTGAGTGGACTGGAGCTTTCTTTAAAGGTTTGCTATTTCTGTAGAAATAGAACAATTTGCTGGTTCTGTCAGGATGCTGGCTCATCTTAAGGGTTTATCTGCCTTTATTTGTTGCAGGGAAATCTATAATTTCAACTGCAGTATGATAGGTAGCAGAGCTTACCAGCAGCTCGCATACTTTTGTAAACATCATATGGATAGGTATGAGATAGGGAACTGGAACACATGTAGGTGATACTGGTAAAAATGCAGCTGAAGAAATACACAGTTCACAGCCTCTTGCTTTCCATGGCTGTTATGGACATTGTTGTCTATAGACAGTGATGCCCTGTCTGCTGGAACGATATTTGCATTCAGTGTTCTCTTAACACCTGAGCATCTTCCAAAATAAATGAGGATCAGATGAAAATTTGAGGACTAATTTTGGCAGAGCAATGCCTGGTTTAACCTGTTGTGTGTATCAACACTCTCTTTGCAACACCATACCTGAGAGTGAGGAGTGTTTGAAATCTGGTATAAATGTCATGCCTTGAACTTGAATGCAGTGGCAATTGCATGTCTGAAACATGAAGATGTTTTGCACAAAGTGACATTGTTATAAGATAATGCTCAGGTATTGAAGCAAGCAAGCTGATGAATGGACAGCTGGCATTTGTTTCTGACCAGGCCAGGTACAGGGAGGAAAAATGCTTCAAAAACATACTGAAATCTGTCAAGCTGAAGGGACAAAGCTGGGTTTATGAGACTACTTTCCCCTTTTGCTGAACTGAATTTCTCCTGAGTCAATTCATCTTTCTTATAAATGGGATGACAGACTTTTGTTAGCTCTTTTGTGTTTACATCACACCTGAATACAACCTGTTTCTTCATGAGGAGAAGATGTGAAGTCATATCTTTATAAGTTGGGTATCAGAATTCAGCATCCTTCCTCCAGAACTGTCATCTTCCTATAAGATGTTGCTTTCTGTCCTGTCAGGTTATTCCTTCTTTTATAAAGAAAGTTTTTGCAGTTTGTTATAGCTGCAAGAATTCTTGTCAGTAAGTACATTTCACATCCTGAGGCAGTCAGTTATGCCCAGGGAAGATGCTTATGAGTTCAATGTTGGCAATGTATTCTGGCTGTCCCCTCTTGATCAGCAGCTTTGTGAAAAGAACTGGACTTCTTTGATGGACCTCTTCCTACATCCTATTAATCTACGTAATTTCATCAGTGCTTTATCTGCTTTCTCATGTGATGAAAGTAAAGAATTTCACTAACAACAGTAATATCTGCTAATAGGACTTCTACTAGGGCCTGTATTTAGAAGCTTCACGCTGTTCTACAGTTTCTTCTCTTCCATAGTTGACTCTTGAAGACAATGGAGATGTCTCACTTTCTCATCTTCACGCAGAGAGGAAGATGTCATTTCTGTGAAAGTGATATCAGTCATTAATGCAAATAGAAAATTGTATTGGCCCCTCTGAAGTAGATTTCTTTTGCCTCCATTAGGCTGGGGCTTTGCAGAGATCTGGGTTTCAGAGAGGACAACCATATTTATTGAATGAAACTGGCACTCCTGGTGTTCCTCCAAAAATGAAGTTGCCATTGCAGACAATGATTACATGATAGACCTAAACACAAAATTGTAAGTTTTATTAATTTAATTCGTATATTTGAATTTGTCTGGTACTCAGGCTGTCTCTGTCCAGAAAATTAGGTGTTTTGTGGGAGAACTGAATGAAGAGATGCAAGCATTTTGTGAAACTTGAGGAGAATTTGGGTCCCAGAATGGCTTTAATATTTTCAAGATTTAACATACATGGCTGTGATTTCTAATGGAGAAAAAACTTTTCTTTGTGCAGATAAGTTTTAATTTCCTTTAAACGTGAGAACAAATTGGTGGATATGCTGAAAGCATTAGAGAAAATGGAACGGACTTCAGCTTAACTGGTGTGAGAGTGGCACAGCAAAACCTGAGTTTTCCATGCCCTGCACTGTCACTGGGGACGTTGCCTGGTCACCCAGCAGTTCAGTGCACTCTGTGATGAGAGTGATATGACTTCCCAGCTCAGTGGTGCTTGTGATGGTAATTCCTTCTAAAGATTACGAGATGGCAGAGCTGGGTAAATATTGCATAAAAGCTCTGACAAATAGAAATGACTGTACAGTGGTGGTGCAGCAGCAGCTTTTTGTCTCTCTCACACTGCTCCAACTCCAGAACAAGCAGAGATGGAAAATTGTTTCCAGAGGCACTACAGAGCAGCAAGTAGGCAGGCTGGTGGAATATCAGTCATGTCAACTACAGTCAGTGTAAGTGATCTCATCAAAAGCGGCATTTCTTTTTGATTGCTTTCCAAATCATGGTTTCAGTTTTTAATTGCGACAGTCAGTGCAAATAAACGTGAGTCTATGCTGCCTCTCTTTCCTTTTTTTCCCCACTTGTACAGGAAAAGCCTGAAAATACGGAATGCAACTGAGCTTTTCCCTCTAGTGAATGTCTACAGAGAACCAAGATGTCAAGCAGCAGTGCAATTTGAATTTGTGTTGTGTGGCTTCAATGCTACCTAGGAGTTGAATTGCTTTTCTAGCCTGTGGAATGACAAACAAGTAGCTGGAGATGCCAAGAGTATGGACACCACTGCTGGAGGGATGCTCAAGAGGTTTTAGAGCAAGATCAGTGTTATCAGGCTCCCTTGCACAGTGTGACCTACACTGCTTAGATAGGTGTATCACTCAGTACCACTTTTCTTATATCCATAGCAGAGATTACTTCAGTCTTCCTTCTTTATCTTTGCAGGCTTTCTGATCTCACCATCTTCTTGCTCGTGTTTTAACTGCATATGAAAAATAGGCATGTTTAGGAGTAAAATTGTTATGAAAGTCTCAGTGAAATTACTGTAATTTGTTACTGTAAACAGATGATCTGTATGTCTTCAATTACGTTTCAGGCAACCAGTCTCTGAAAATGCAAATATGTGGTTTAGTGCAGCACAGGCTGCAAGAAGGGGGAAGAGATGCGTGGGAGAACCTCTTACTACTGCTTGATCTCGTGCTGCTGATGGTATTTAGCAGAGGAAAGTACAGTTTATTAAACTGTAGGCTGTAGCAAGAAGCGTCATGCAGGGACAGAGGCTGGCTGAAGAGTTCCACAAAATGCAGTCAGTTCAGAAACCCAAATGCTAGTACTGCCCTGACAACAATGGTCTTCCTAGGCTTCCCCTATTGTCCTGCAGCTCCTCAGTGCATCTCAGAGGATGCTTCTTGGGACCCTTATGTTTCCCCTGACAACAATCTGTTTAATTATGGGCATCCTTACTGCCTACTAGGTCTGAAAATTAAGGTGCCCTTCTCTCTTGACAGTGGTCCCCATGACTGAAGACTTGTGGCCTTGCTCTGACTCCTGCTCCTCACTCCATTCAGACATTGTCTGAGCTGGAAGGCACTGTGGCTCTCCTTCCCTTAGAGTAGCTCTCCAGGAGCTGATGCCAGGCACTCTGATCAGATCAACATGCATGGAATCAGTGTCCTGAGTGACAAAATCCCAACACTTTTCAGGTAAGTTCGTCAAAATTTCTGGAGGAGAGTAAAACATAACAAGAGAAAGGCTTTACAAGGAGAGATTTCCTAAAGCTAAGCCTATGAAGCCAGAAAGTCATTTCAAATTCTGTGTTTGAGAACTCGGGTTCATACCGTTCTCCACATGTTTAACTTCGTTCAGCCTCCATATGTTCATCCATTCCAAATTTCTTTTCTAGATGATTTTCTACTAAGGATCTTCTCAGAGAGAAGGTGGGAGCTGTTGCCTTACAGTTATTATTATATCAATTAATATAAGCGCTATCTTTAGACTCTTTGCTCCAGTAGTTCAGCAAATCCCTTAAACAGGGAAGCAGTCCAATAGTAATGGGATAAACAGATGGAGAAGCAGCATCTATAGTATCTACCGTAGCATAGTATTTCTTGCTTCTTCCTCTTGTCTGGGATCTACCATATTGGGTAGATGCTGTCAGTGACAGGATGCTAAAGTCAATGAATTTCACGTTTAATTCAAAACAGAAGACTTTCCTTCTGCAATTCTTTTGTTGTTTCTAGGTCTTGCTTCTTTGTTTCATGGGTTTATTTCATCCATCAAAAGAAAAGAACATACAATTCAAGGTGGATGTGCTAATGAAAATACGTCAGTATCAAATCCAAACAATATTGTAAAGCTCAAACTGAGGCTTCTCCATATGGTACGTTGATATTGCCAGCCAAAAACACAACATGCAACTTCCAGAGCTGGGTTCGGTGAACTTTAAAATCTGTACGAAAATAACTGGCGACAGCTTTTCTCAATGCAAAATCCTTGCTACTCTCTCCCAGAAAGAGCTGTTCCCTGCCGTTTTTCAGCACCTCCTCCTCCCCGTCTGCTTGTTCCTTCCTCCCTCTGTTCTGCTTTTTCCCACGTTTGTGTGATGTCCTCCATCCCCAGCTCTTGTCCTTGTGACAGAGAGAGGATTCATCAGAGCTGTCTGTCCGTCTTACTTTCCAGAGACATTACATCACCTGCTGCTGAGCAAAGCTGCTTCCCTATAGCTTTCCCATTCTGAAACAAGATCTGTCTTGGATCAGTCCCGTTGTCTAGCTGCATCCATCTATATTCCTGACCTGACTCCAATGGCTGATGTTTCTCTTGCTCCCAGACTTCTGAACCAGCAAGTAGTTCCCCAGGGCTGGAGCACAGTGCGGAAGTTTGACTGAAACCTTAGCTCAACCTGAAACCATGAGCTGTGTGAGACAAGTCATAAACCCATCTCAGACCTGCTCTAATTGGGTCTGCAGCCATCTTCTGTGCCTTGTGTGTCACCAATGCTTCTCTCTCTTGTCATCCCTAGCTTTGGGATGTTCCCAACACTGCAGCTCATGGGAATAACTAAATGATGTTAGCCTGCAGTTTGTCTCCTCAGAGTTGTAGGCCAGAGAGATGTGGTGATAAGGAGTGATGCCTTTAGGCTTGCTTTGTAGGTCATCAAGTTTCAAGATTTTCATCATAAATTCTTCCAGTATGACACCTATGGATGTGATATCCAGAGCAGTCTTCTCCACAAGAAGTGTTAGTGGGAGCAATGCATCTCCTTCCTGAGTCATAAGAGCATGAAGTCTGCATTGCAGTGGAGTAGGAAATTGGGAAGCAGAGTGCCATAAATTTGTGGCTGATCTATGTGCTGGGTCTGTGCCAATGTAGCTGTACGTGTACATGTGGGCATATTTTGCGTGGTGTAATCTTTTTGATAGCAGATGCAGCTGCATGAGGATAGAGGTCTTTATATCAATAAATTTCATTCTGAAATATAAGCACCTTCTTAAAGCTCTAAAGCTAAAATTTTATAGAGAAGCTGCTCTATTTTTGACCACTAACTGAAGTCACACAGGTACAGAAATGTGTGCATAAGAGCACTGAGTGGGAATGTAGCAAATTAACCAGTGATTATGAAGAAAGTCCAGCTAAAGAAAGGGTGATGTTTGAGGGGAACAAAGCCAGGTTTTGGTGTATGAGTTTGCGAACATTTCTGCAGTTTTGAAGTGCATCTTGGTGGTAGTGCTAAATAAGTTGTATTCTGGTTTCTTTCTTTCCTTCTCAAAATTTCTGAGTGCCAGTGAGACTAAAGAAGACAATTTCAGTTGTGACATTAAGGCTGAAAAGATTAACAGTTCCTCAGCAGGAGGCCTACTGCTAAGAAAACAAGAGGAACTTGAAACATGTATAGCATAGCACACATAGCAGCCAGTGTTCTTTGTATCACAGGATATAAAACATGTAACGAGACAAGAAAGAATTGGAGAGTCGTGGTACTGGATGACCTGGGCCAAGGAAAATGGCTGGAAGCTGTGGATAGCAGCAACATTTTCCTTCCGATGCCCCTAAATGTGGATGACTGAGTACAAATGAAGTGGTCTTCTTAGGACATCGTGCTTTAACTGCTGTATTTGAAGTAGACAGTGGGAGGAAATGAAGAAAGGGGAGGATCCAGCTCTAATTTTATTTTGGGGGGAGAGCTGTGTAAGGATTAATCGAGAGAAAAGAAAATAAAGACTGGAATGGTACAGGCTAATCTGTGAGTCATCTGTGGGGATTCTCCAGTGGAGAGTGGTGGGGCCCGTGCTGTCAGCACAGGAAAGGCCCTGGCTTCTCTCTGCCCTTCTCCCTCATGTCTGGAAACTTTCTAAAATAAAGGTCTGCTTTCAAATGACTGAAATCTGGGATGCACATGAATTGTTCTCAAGACCCTTTCGGTTTTGAGCAACGCGTTTCTCCACACTCTCTTCTCAATAAAAAAGAGGAGGGAGGGGAAGCAGTTGGATTTGGATGACTTCTATCATGAAGAATTTGGTGAAATATTTCTCAAGCTCTTCAATCATGTTGCCTCACTTCATGCTGTATTAAACTGTCAGGTTAGTCAACAGCGTGACAAAAAGGAAAACATGAAAGGATGCTAAGCAGAGCTGACACATTCAAAATGTGACTCCATTGTTGCATGCCCACTAGCTTACAGCAGACTGAAAATGGCTCTCTTATACAGTATTTTATACGGCCTTTTCTCAGAGCTCAGCCTCAGGCTGTCTTACTGGGACACAACAGGTGCTGGATAGTTGGTCCAGGAGCAGTTGGGCTCCAAGCATCCCAAGGGAGTGTGTAGAAGTGCCCAGCTTCAGCATCCTGGAGACTATTCCATAGACTGAATTAATTGTCACCTTCATGAGCTGAAGAAATTAGTGTTTTCAAATTCAAACCATCGTTAAAAGTGACTGCTATCTATACAGAAACCTTAAATTTTGTCTAGGGTGGCTGTGTTACAGCCATGGAGTTTAAAGCAATCCACTATTTAGAGAAGGGGGCTATCTTTGCAAGCAGATAGGGAAACTTAAATAAAACAAAGTGCCTATTACTTTTTTCTATTTGCAGTCTACAATCTTGTTCTTATATCATTATTATTACCTCATTGTATCTGAAGCAACAAGACTTTAATTATGTGTGCTATTTCATGGGGTGCTATGACTCCTTTTTATATAGACATTTCTACAGAAAAGATCTTTGGCAGTCACTGAGATACTCCTCATAAAACAATAAGCAATAAGTCAATGCTGAAACAAGCTAGAAAATCTAAAATTCTCCTTATAATCTCAAAGGAGTGCCTCTTGCACAGCAGAAGGCCATCACTTGAACCTTTTTCATGTAAAATGCATCTGGGAAGTCTTTCTCAGTAGTGTGGTTTGTTAAGGATGTAGGCAAGTAATTATTCTTATGTGGGGTGTCTGTTGTAGATGCAAATCCCCCATGAATCACAAAGAAAACAGAGTTTGGTTGCCTGCAACTTCCAGTTTACCGTCTAAGAATGTCTGTAGGGAATGTATTTCTTGTGCAATGTCTTGTTTCCTGAGCAATGTGCCGGCTCTTCTGGTGCTGAGCTGGAAATTTTAAATGGTCTTCTATCCTGAGCAACAATGTAAACAACTGACAAGACAGGAGAGGTTTTTGACAACCTGTGTTGACAAAAGGCAATACACATATGATTTAGATGAAAAACCTGAGAGAAAAACAATGTTGAGGCTCTAAATCTGAGAACAGAATAATCCAGAAGTCATAGTGTGAGAAAGAGAAATTCAGCAAAATGATGCCCCACCTCTGGAGGCATTCAAGGCCAGGCTGGATGTGGCTCTGGGCAGCCCGGCCTGGTGGTTGGTAACCCTGCACATAGCAAGGGGGTTGAAACCAGATGATCATTGTGGTCCTTTTCAACCCAGGCCATTCTATGATTCTATGAAATGGTAATTGCTGAAGGGAGGTGAAAGGGACCAGGAGGTGAATCTGGCAATAGCATGCAGAAATAGGAAGATAATATCAATCTAGAAAGTACTTGGAAGGGTAATAGCTCTGAGTATTAAGTTTAGGGCTAGCCATGTCATGGTCACTACCTTCCTTAGCCAGCACCTGAGGCGGTGCAGAGGGTCAGTCTAGTGTGGGCCAAGATTAAGACAGGTCTATGCAAAGTGTTACACTGCTTTAATTACTAGTTGTAAGCTGAATCTTGGCAGAATAAACAAGCCTAGAGTGTAGGAAGGTAATTAGCTGTGCCCAGACAAGCTACTTTGCAGCTAGCTAGAAGAAAACAAAAGAAATAAGTGTTAAGAGTTTATTCTTATTCTTTTGAAGCTTGCTAAACAAAAGATGATGGCAGCCTATCTTAGTGTCATCTGCAGTTATTTTTGAATAGACTGAGCAATCACTTTTGGCTTTGTCAGAAGCTGTCCATTAGTCCTCCTGGCTTTTCATTGTTGTCTTTGTGGTTTTTGTTTGTGTGTTTGTTTGTTCTTTAAGGTGAGGGAGGAATGAAGCTCTCATATTTCCTTCTTTCCATTGCATCAGTGATGTTATGGTTCTGTGTGTGGGAAGCAGTTTCCAATTTTGTTCCTGCAGTCAGCTGTGGCTGCAATGAATGACCTCTGGAGGGAGGTCCAGAGACTTGGTGCTTTAGGCAGATGATTAACTGTTCTCATTTGTGACCTTAGTTGTTTCCATGTACAGGAGATCATAGCCGCAATGAGGATTTTTGGGACCCTTGGAAAAATGTGAACCTAAAATTAACTGCATTTATATTGCTTATTCATAAAGTGTATTTGGAGTGAATCTTAAGCTAGGAATGAAGATTTCAAATTAGCTCCTTGGGCCAATTAAATGTGTTGGTCCTTTGCAGGTTGATTAAAATGTGCTCTCCAGGAGGAGAGAGAAAATTGCATCTTGCTGAGGGCCAGGAAGAAGTGGCCCTGATGTGTTTTTGAAAGACACAATCAAAAACACAGCTTCGGTAAGGGATGATGAATAGAGAGCACTTTGCACAATTACCAGTGTCCCAGCCTCATGCTGGGCACGTTGTGATCACTGTAGTGGCATCCATTTGTTCAGGAGAGGCTCCTTCCACTGCTGTGTGCAGCTCCAGTCACCTTCTGATACTTTGATTGCAGCTGGTGGATTTCCTGCAGCACAGTGCCCGTGTGCATGAGTACCACGTGGAGTCGCTTAACCTCAAACAGAGTGGTTAAAAAAGAGAAAGCCTCTTGCATGTGTGTGAGTCCTTTGTGCTTGGTGCTGTGTTGTAGGTTTATCCAAACTTCCCTAAATCCTTTAACCACTGAGACAAAGAACCATTATGCCAGTGCTCACATGCTTGGAGTGTGTGTTCTCTCACCCACCTGGCTATGCAGATTAGGGCCCAGGCTGCCTTTTAAACGAAGCTCTGACCTGTCCACTTTGCAATAAGGATGTCTGTAATGGTAGGGAAATGGAGCTCAGCCTTGGTAATCTTTCAGCATGATTTTACTCACTGCCAAACGTGTTTTTTTTTCTTGGGCATTTCTCTTCTTCCTGAGAATCTCATCCAGCAAGAGTTTGAAGATTTTGAATGTTTGGGATATCTTGTGGTCCATCTGGAACTGCAGAGCAGGGGAAGGTCGTAAGTTCCCAGTGAAGCATTATTACAGCACAAAGTAGAGCTGTTACCATCATGGACGTATCAGATTATACCCTTCTGTATATGTTAAGAGTTACGTGCACAGCTCTATGAGAGCTCCATGTTCCAGGCACAAGAGGAAGTTCTTGGGCCCAAAAGGAGCTCTTTCAGTGTGCCTCTGGCAGCTGGACCCCTCAGCGGGTCCTGACTTACCTTCTTCAGGAAACCAGCTTGAAGTCTGCACTAATATGGGTGCAAAGCTGGAGACACCCAGATCTCCTGTACAGCATCATGGCGGAGAAGTGCCTTCCTGCACCTACAGGGGAAAGGCAAGGCTTCAGAGTTGGAACTGGCAACTGGAACATGAATGATGGTGTTGCTGAAGGCCTGTGGAGGAGCGGTACCAGATTCCTGTATGGATGTGCTTCTGAGGGTGCTGCCTGCTCCAGAGGTGTTTTCTAACCTCACACAACCGAAGGCACATCCAGTGCTCCCTGTGCTTTTCATAGCCATGTCTCTGGCACTGATGTAAAGCTCCTCTGTCCTCCAAAACTTTTGCAATAGCACTGCATTCAGTCTCACAGGACAGATGTTCTGGGAATGATTCTAGCAAAAAGGCTGAGAAACAAAGAACAAGATTCTTGGAATCTTTTCTGAAGAATGTGAACAAAATTTTTATCTTAAAAAAAAATCACATTCCTGCCCTTTCCTCATTCTTTGTTTGACAAATTGTTTTCTATTTACAGCCAGCACTTTTTAATGCGTTCTCCCTCCCCCAGCCTACTGGGTTCCTATTTTCTCCTTCTGACAATGTTACCATATGGTTCTATTATTCAGAGATTCCTAAACATGTATTACAGCAGTCCTGAAAAATAATTAGGTGCTGCTGTGGTGTAAAAGCACATCTGTGCTCAATGGCTCCCAGTGGAAATTATGGGATAAAACATCCCAAGACACTTTCCTATCTTTCTTCTTCCTCTCCCCCCCACTCCCATTTTCTTTCCTTCCCCACACACAACAAAAGTAAGCAGCAAAGGGGAAAAATTTCTGTGTGAACAGTTATTATCATTTTCTTTCTTAAAAGCAAAGCACATTGTGATTTGTGGTTTTTGAGTACAGCTAGAGGAAGAGATCTCCAGGGAGGAAAAGGTATATATTTAGAGTCTGTACATTTATAATAGAACTTAATTCTATGTTGATAACCAATGATTTACACCCTTTAATCCAAAAGCCCTCCTGTGCCCTGTCAGGAATTACAGCGTATGTCCAGCAAATTGGTAACCATATGCTTCAGCGAATGCGTGGTCCCTCAGCACTTCCCCTTCTCTGTTGCCATGAATGGTGCCCTGTTAAAGCAGTCTGTTGTCATGATTTACTCTGCCTTTGTTGAAGGCTTTGTCAAGGGAAGGTTACTTTTGGATTCTTTTAATGTTGCACGTTCCGTGTAAGGCTTCAGGCAGTTTTTGCTGGAGAATTTCACAAATGAATCAATGAGGAAAAGTTTTCTCAGCTCCCGATGGAAGGCATAGAGAAATCTCCCACACAACTTCTTCTCCCAGGTGTGTATTGGGAAAACAAATGAAAATCAGAGCTATCAAAAACAGGATTCACAGCCATTTTGCTCCCACCCCCTCTGCTTCACTCACCTTGATGCCTGCTGATTCTGCTGTTGGAACCAAACAGTTACAGCACAGACAACAAAAGCCTTCCTTGGTGCATTGTGGAATAGAAACAGAAAGAGTCCCAGTATAGTTTTTTCCCTCTCTGTGACTGGTTTTTAACAGAAACATTACAGTGCCTTCGGAGCAGTGGCTGGAAGATAAAGCTAGCTCATGTTAGAGGGGCACCAATGAGTGAGCCTGCTGCTGCTCTTCCAGCAGGAAAGATTATCCCAGATAAGCAACAGCAGGGTCATGTTCAACAAATTAGCTTGACTGATGAACCCTGCACTCTTGTCAGTATTAATGCCTGCTAAGTTAAGCAGGCCCAGGCTTTATTCTGAAAACTTATCCTCAGAGACCAATGCAATTGAATCTATTTTTTTCTTACAGATGCTGTGTAGGAGGAGCTCTGGGTCTTCTCCAACGAAGACACGTTATTACAGATGAATTTTTTACCTAACCTGAGCAAGCCACTGTACTAACGGTGACTGGAGGTAAGTGGCTACCCTGGGCCCTGTGGGAGGGCAGGGGTATCCCTGCTAAGTGTTGCATGGTCTCTATTCTGGTCTCACAGTGCCCAGGAGCACAGGGCAGCTCAGCCCAGGACAGTGTTGGAGGCACTGCTCAGCAGGCGAGCCCTGGATGGTCTTCATCAATCACTTGACAGCACAGCGGCTGGCAGTTCACACGCCTTTTCCACTTGGAGGCACTTGTTGCCTCCCACTGCATGTCCTCAGCCCCTCCCAAACAGACTTGAAAAAACAGAGTGCTGTCAGTACCAGTCAGTTCCCCGACAAATAATGTAACAATATTCACCCAAACGGCATTATTAAGGATCACTGATCTGCTCTTCCTTCAGCAGGCAGGTAGTCATTTTGTGTAGCTTTGCTCAGAGGAAGGCAGATTTTAAAAATATCTTCCAGACTATGTCACGGCAAGGACCCCAGTACAAAGCAAGACTGTGGGCTGGAGCTACTGCTGTGGTGTTGGAGGAGCACAGAGCGAGGTGTGCTGCCAGCACTGCCCGGTGTCCTGAAGCCTGGAGCAATGGGCTCCAGCCCCCAGGGCTGGGAGGATGGAATCAAGCTTTCTTGAATGCATTTCAGTGTGCTAAAGAATCATTTCCCTCCATTAAAATCTTGAACTGATTTATGAAGTGAGATGCCAGAGCAAATCCTTTGACTCCTCTGCTGAGTTCATCTTTTATCCCTTCACTAATTGGCATTTCTTTAAGTAGTAGAGAACCGTTGTTCCTAAAAAGGAATAGCACACCTTAAATATTTGCTGATGCATATTTGAAAACCATCTGGCGTGAGTGGATTTATTGGTGTCAGATGAGAACTCTCCTGGGATGCCAGTGAAGGGCTGGGAAGCGCTGGTGCACAAGTTTTGTCTGTGGGATCCCAGCACTTCCAAGGTAAAGGAACAAAGATCAGCTTTTTCTTTGAGCTGCAGCATCTGCTGGAAAGAGACTTAGCAGTACAGTTCCCATAAGGAAGATAATATTTGTCCTGTCTCAATGTCAAATTTGCTTCCCCTCCTATTCCCAGTTTGGTCTGGAGTTTGCATATCTCCATCCCCAGAGTGCTTGCTTTGTTTCAGCTCTCTAAAAGGCAGACTGGAAGATGAGAAATCAGATTTTATTCTTGCCTCTGCCAAAATATTCTTGTGACTTTAGGCAAACAGTTTTCCTTGCAAGGAAAATATGAATAATCTTTTATATAATGCAAGCAGTAGTCACCTATTTCATAGCACTATGGGGAAGTTGGTTTTGTTTAGATTCATAAGATTGATACCTGAGCTGAATTTGCTTAGACTTGTTAGGGGAATCTGAAGCTGAGACTTGAGTTCAGTCTGTTCATTTTCTTTCTGAAATTCTATTGGAGAGCTATTCAAATTGAACAGTCCTCCCAGCAGATAGGGGGGAAAAAAGGGAAAAAAAAAGATCTATGTTTATTCTGGAGGAGTAACACCAATTTTATATATAGATAGATAGATACAGATATAGATATAGATTCATTCTCCAGAAATGTGTACACTTTGGCGAAAATGCTATTTTTGTTACAGAAAAAGATTTTAAAAAAAATTCCCTGGAAAGAACTGTACTATGTTCATTGGATATTGCTGTGTGTCTTTGCTTCTCATCTGCTAGTTGGAAAGGAGTACCAAACAAAAGCCTTTTTGTCATGAAAATCACCCACCAACCTCTGCCAACTGTCAGTCAGAGGAACAATAAGTGTGAGAGCCAAACATGCCACCCACCAAAAACGTGTATGTGAGCTGGGTTAAAGGACAAAGAAAGAAATTTGCACTCGCAATAGTCCAACACAACAGCGTGGAAACAGCTCTGCCAGCACAGCTCCTTTCCCCCACCCCGTGGGGTGATTGGACCATCTGGATTTCTCCGGATTCAGGTTTTCAGGGGCACAGTTCCCATCAGCACCACCAAACGGAAATCATTTGTTCCCAGATCTGATTGCAGCACAGGTCGTAACTGAGTCCTTGACTGTTATGGTCTAGGTTGGGCCATAGGCTAATTTGGGACCAACCAAGAATATAGATGGGAACAAATAAGAGAGAGGAATGTCATAGCTTGAAACTAAATTCAGCTGCAGCTCATAAATGAGAAATGGAAATCAAAATCCCCAGGCAGGCACAAAGGGTTTTGTGAGGCTGTTCTTGTTCACATGATGCAATCTCAAGGTTCGATGCCACCAGAAGGAATGACTTTTCACCACTTCCTTTCTCCTTCCTGGTGCCAGCTGATATGTCTGGGTATTGAAAAGTCCCTGATGACACTGCACCCTACTCACATGTCAGCATGACAGCTCCAAACATGCATTGGGTTTTGCCAAAGGTGCAGTTGAAGGGACCAAGAAAGCATCTATATCCAGTATATCCTGGAATAGTACAATTTGATACTGATACTGTAGTTATTGGAGATGGATTTCAGGCTATTCAAATCAGTCATCTGCTCAATAAGCCCAAAATTACAGTGCCATATGCTTGGTTTGCCTGAACGGATCAGTGAAAGGAATTGCCATCTTCAAATACAGTGACAGTTACCCCACCAAAGCAGTTTTAACAGGGAAGAACATCAACAGGGGCAGCTCAAGTGAGCTTTCAGCACTGGAACAGTGGACATTTTGAAGTTTAAGAATAAATAAATAGTAAATAATAATAATAATAATAATTCACAATAGAAGAGCCTCCTTTTTCCCTCTAGGTAAATACGCAAGCCATAAATAATACTGCAGGTATGATGCAATGCTGGGGTATTTTTGTCTCTGGCATTCACTGAGATCGGGTTTCTTGCTATGCAGTAATTTCCAAATACTTTGGCATGTCAAGTCACAGGCACTCCCACAAGGTGCTCGCCTGACCGACACACACCTGGTGTAGTGTTCTAAGTGGGGGAAATGTGAGGAGGGGAGCGTGGTACCAGTGTGACTACACTGATCAGGGGTGTGGGCTCCTTCGGTTGTGTTTTTAACTGAGAGGGCTGTAATACTGTAAAGCTTCCTGCAATTCTGCTGCTGTTTTGTACAACGCAATACTTATTTCCATTCCACTGTGCAAACTGTGCCCCTGTGTTGGTTATGGGTGGGATTCCCCAAACTGTACGGAGTGTGCTGAGTATGTTTTCAGATTCTTACCCATCATAGCTTTGGTCATACTTGTGCCATCTGTAGCCAAGGAGGAATCAGTGACAAAGTCACTTTCTCAGAGATTCCCTTTAGAGGCCATGCATGCCAGCTGCAACTTTAACTGCACTGTCTTTGTCTTTCTTCCAGTTGCCCGAAGTTATCAGCTATATTCAAATCCTCTTCTGTTTTCAAAAAAGAAAAAATTGACCGCATCATTTCTGTGAGGCTGAGCTGGCTATTACCCAAAGATATTATATAAGAGCTGTACAGTTACTGACGAAACCAGCAGAGCCCACAGCAAGCTGCAGAGCTGTATTTCCTCCCTCTCTCCCTCTGAAACTCCTCTGTCACTAAAGAAATTTCTCAATTTTCCCTGATGACAGAGCAATAATATACTGCTCCTTACAAAGCCAAAAAGCTGCTCATGTTCGGCTGGAGCACAAAAAGCTGCAAGCCAGGCTTTCAAAAGATAATAATGCTTCAGTGCAGCTACACACAAGACAAAAACTGTTTGAAGGAAGCAAGATGCCAGAATTAGAAATTCAATGCTGGAAAACAGCATGCATTTCCTGTCCCTGTGATGTTATTATATTGAAAAGGCTGCTGCCAGGCCAATACTTCTGTATCCTTCTTGCTAAATAGAGAAGATCTACCCAAATGTCCGCCTTTCTCTGTTTGCTCGCCTGTCTGCTTAGTAACTTTCAAATAATTGGCCCTAACAGAATTGCTCTGACGTAATTGTAAACAAGCGCCCTCCTGAATGAACCTCTACCTGATTCATGGTGTGACACTGAATCCCTCGCTAGTTTGCTGTGTCACTACCTCAAGTGGTGTGCTAGGGGCTGGTAACTAAATGGGTGGTTAGGAGAGATCTCCTGGCTCACTTGGAGTTGTGGACCTGATGGAAACAAACCTTAATGTCAGAATCAAGGCTAGAGCCTTTCTCCTCATGGAACGATTAAGAGGAAAAGGCCTCCAAGATCATCTAGTCCAACCACCAACCCCCCACCACCATGCCATTAAACCACGTCTCTCAAAATCGCCTGGGTGGACACGGGTACGAGTTGAACTGTTACCTTGTCTCTCTGGAGAGAGGGCTGGCGAAAGCAGTTTCATCCACATCCCACAGTTAAGAAACTGTGGCCCTGGGGACAAGCACAGCCGGCCGTGCCGAGTCACTCTCTCATGGCTTGGCTGTGCCTACTGATATGTGAAATGTGCAAACAGCCCCCACGGAGCTCCTTGGGAGCAGCATTTCCACACTGCAAGAAACTGTCTGCGCCCCTTGCACTGACTGGCATCTGTACTGACAGTCTGAAAGGAAATGCCTGAGTGGCTCACGTCTAAGCTATGTCTCTGCTAGGTGAGACCATCCAGAGCTGAATCATTTGCTGAAAGGAAAGCCCTATGTTCAGCCCTATGGGTAGAGAGCATCAGGGCTCAGGACTCTGAAGTGAGTGCTGAAGGTATGGTTTCAAAAAGCAGAAAGAAGTAGCTGTTTTGTTTACCTTGCAGCTTTCCCTTCTAAAGAGGATGACGTTCATTTGGGAAGCAAAACAATAAGCTATGTATTGGTTCGACTTGCAGCTTTAGGGTACAATGTTTTGCATCTGATTTCTGGTGACCAGTGAACTAAGCTGGGCCATTTCTTTTCAGAAGTGCAGAACATCCGTGATTAACTGGCATCATTTAGACTCCCACATTCTCTAAAATTTGGTCTTTCCAGATCAGTAAACTCAGAAACCAATTTCTGGTGCTTCACATCAGCTCAGATCTACAGAACTGCCCACACTGATTTTCACTATAATGGAAAGGATAAATCTGACATCACTGAGCCTCTTCCACTAAAATTCGGCAGCCTTTACTCATGTGAGGTGAGAAGGAGTTGTGTAGTGTATTATGTTCTTCTTGTACACCTCCCCCCCACACACTCACACACACTTATTTATATATATATACAATCCCCAAAGACTTTTTGTCTCAGCCACTTTTTAAAGTAAACTGCTCTACCTTGGATGTGTTCCATATCAAAGCTGGGAAGCCTTAGTACACACAAAACAGGCTGGATTGCAGATGATGAAGCAAACACTTATTTTACCTGCATTTATTTTTTGGTTTGACAGAGAGAACTTTCAGCACCTAGACCTGTGACTTTACAGGTGGTAATATTATGTTGCTACTGCAGTTCAGTTTGTTTCCTCCATGTAATCTCTAATGTTTCTCATGAAAGTTCATCTCTGAGGTAAGTGTACTCAGTGGGGACACTTGTGTATGTACCACTAGCCACCTGTTAAGAACTAAATGATTTCTCCTCTGCCAGGAGTGTGGATTCATGTTTTAGATCTGTTTCAAAAGAAGCAGTCCTGTCCTCCCCAAGCACCAGGCTGCATCTTCCTGCCACCTCCCTTCCCAGTGCTGGCACTTGGGCTGGAAAGGATTCGCCTCCTGCCTGCCTGAAGACATTTTACTTTCAGGGCTGTTTTTCAACTGGATCAGCAGGCAGGTCTGGCACAGCACCAAACCCCATGATGACTGGTACCCACACAAGAGAGCTGATGGCAATATATGGCAGGAAGGAAGCAGACTCAGATTGGTTTAAACTGACCATTAAATCCTTTAATGAAAGCTGCTAGTGTGTGTTAGCATTGATTTGCCTTCCGTGCATGTCATAGCCATCCTATCTTCAGGTGCCGACCAAGTTTCCTGCTCAGACTTGTTTACGAAGTCTCCTCTCCTACCTGCTGTAGAGAACCTGTTCTAGCAGGATCTAGCAGTGATCTCTAGAGAACCCTTCCAACTGCTATGATTCTGTGATTCTGTGACTTTCTTGCTAAGGTCCAGCTGTGGTGTAGCTCACGTCGCACTGCAGAGCTGATGGGAGACTGGTTCTCATCAGATTGGATCTATCTGGGGATTTACACTGCACCCCCATCCTACGGTTTCACTTCTTGCTTCTGATTCAGAGGAATTACAAAGCCTGAAATGAAAGTTAGCCGAAACTGTGACAGCCCCTCATTATCTCTTTTCTTTTGGTAACAAAGATGTACAAAAGTCTATCTGTGAGCAGAGCTGACATGAAGGGGCCAGGCTGGGTCAGGAAGCCTTTAACAAACACCAAACCAAGCTGCTATACCACGTCGGGGGCAGAGCTGGCAGCACAGCTTTACTCGTTGGTTTTGGTGATGTCCGCGAGCTTTTAGGGGGCAACTCCTGCCTGCACGGCACTTCGTGCTCCAGGAAGTGCGGCGCGTTTCGGCGGCAGGTGGCTAGGTGGCGCTGAGTCGTGCTGCTGTCCTTGCAGGGGGGAACCAGCTCAGGATCGTGTCGAGGTGTTGATTTAGAGTGTAACGGGAACAGCTTTTCTGCACAGACGTGACTTTGTGAGCCTCTCATGCAAAGCTGAAGAAAGAGGAGTCGCTGCTCTTTGTGCACCTTGCAAGCTGCGAACAGCTGGGACAAGGGACTCGGACAGAGATCCTGTAGTGTTTGTGGCCATGCAAAGTTATCTGTTGAGTCTGTATGCCTGTACAGACAGGGTGCCTCTTACAGGGTCACCTGGTGGGGAATGTCTCTACTTCTTGTCTCTTCTATGCAAGAAGTTTCAATAACAGTGGCCAATGTCTTCAGTAAGATTGCCACTTCCTTTGAAGAGCCAGGGGAACTACTGGATGTTCCTGGCACCCACAGTACCTTAATAAGCAAGGTCTGAGTGCTGTGCTCATCATGGCTTGACATCAGTGATGGGACACTTTTCTCCTGCAATTGCTTTTGCAAAGGCACATTTAGATTTTTCTCACCACCTGGAGCTATGCAAAGCTGCCATAACTGTGTAGAGAAGACTTTTCCCCCTCTCTCCTGAGGGATTATGTTAAAAATATGTGCATATTCTGTGTGACTTTGGTCTGATGAAAGCCCATGGCAGCTGAGCACAAGCACAGGTGTCAGCCAGGGGCTGAAGCCCAGCCCAGTCTGAGTGCTCCAGCTGGGCTCCTTCTGCAGGCAACAAATGAGGCAAGATGAGGCATTCTGGATGTCAAGAAGCCCTGCAAAATGTAAGAGGGCCTCTAAAAAAGTGTCCTTGCAGAGCTTTGCCTTGCTTGCATCAGTCATCCCTTCTAGGTGCTCTTTCCTGACATAACGTATGTGCAAATGTGTCGCTTGCTTAGCGCTGTAAAATGAAGGGAATTTGCTTCCTCTCTGACAGCTGAGTGATGTCTGCAGCCTGCTGTGAAACCCTCTGGTGACTCACTTCTCTCCTGAGGGGTTTCCACTGATAAATTCAAAAAACTATGTTCGCAGTATTATTTGTAGGCCTCTCCCACTCACTGTGTCCCGCCACGCTCTATTTGCCAGAGCACAGGCAGAAAACTCCCTCTGCCAGAGGCTCTTTCCTATGCCTCCCCGACACCTCCGAGTTCTTGGGGGCAGACACAGCTCTGAGAACAAATTACCCAAAAATTTGAAGAACTCAGAGCAACTTTTCTCTGTTCAGAAGTTAGCTGAGGGAGCAATTGAAGGTCTCAGTGGAGAGGTCACTGAGCAGAACCAATTCTGTCTCTAACCAAGCTGCGACCTCTCTCCTTTGTTTCCAGAGTCCTTTGGCACAAATAAGTAGTAAAAAGTCTTTGGGTCCAGAGAGAGCATTTCTGTCCTTTCTCTTAATACTTTCTACTGGTTTTGGTGCAATACGCTTGGGACTAAAAGCCTACACCTGCCTCTCTTAGGAGCCGCATGTCTTCAAGGGCTGAGTCACGCAGCAGAATAGCTCCTTGGATATGACTGAAATAACACAAAGAGCTTAGCAAAGGGAAATGGCATTCCTGGTGGGAAGATCCATGAGGCAGTGTTGCAAAGGAAGTGGTTGAAACCCACGTGTTGTGTCACTGCGGGCTGGGCTGAGCAAGGCACTGGCAGGAAGATCCATGGGCTGCTCACAGATGGCCTTTGGGATTACAATGCCTAAGTTCCGTGGCTGAAATCATTCATTTTCAAGGGAAAACTGGCTGAAAAGTCCTGCAGCAGAGCAGCCCAATGAGGTACTTACCTTTTCAGTGGCCTGAGCAACATTGTCAGCAGGGACATTCTTCAGAGCGTGCGTAGAGCTGAAGTCCATCAGTAGGTGACCCCTTTGGTCCCGTCAGCAGGAATTTCTGCTGCCTCAGCCCCAATCCAGCCCACTCTCAGGCAGTGGGTTAGGGTCAATCATTAACCTCTTCCGGCCCTCACTCCTCCAGAGGCTGGGAGCACAGGCTGCATTGTGCTCGGAATTCTCTCTCTTTGAGGGAAAGGCACAGCCTGGACCAACCATGCCTGCGTCTCTCCCACCCCCAGTTATCCCACAGCTTTGTTCCCACGTTAGAGCTGCAAAGAGGAAGCAGTGAGCTAGACCAAAGGCATTGCTGTCACTTAGTCACTTTGGCCATAAACCTCCTCCTTCCAGACTTTTGTGGAAAGGTGAGTTTTCCTGTAAGATTCAGCTTTTTGTTTCAAATCTGGCAAATAGAGAAGCATGCAGGCAGTGGGACCTGTCCTTGGGGTGGGTGTGCTCCTTCTTTAGACTGTGGGTCAGAGGTGGCTTCTAAAATCAGTGCACACAATGGAGCAGACAAACTTTTTCTCCTTAGGGTTTGTCTGCACAGGGACGTTTACCACTGTAATTATACCTTATGTTACACCAGTATTTCCACCCCATATGAATGTTCTTATTTTGAAATAAGTGTGTCCAAACAGAGCTACACTGGTGTTTTTAGCAGTATAATTATGCTAGCAAATTCTAAGTGTAGACCAGACTTTCGACGCCAATGTCATGTTACAGGGTGAAAAGCACTGCTACAAACCACCATTATCTTCTGATAGCTAGCAATTCTGTGTTGACTTTTGCTGTTACTTATTTTCACCATCTCGTCTTTTTTTAAACTCTTTCAGAGCCATCTTTAATTATTTCAGAACTTAAGATCCACTTTCCCCTCTTCTTCCTCCCATCTGAAATGCACACTCTGATTTCGATGATGATCACAAGTGCAGTTAGAAAACCTAGCAGCTCTGAAAAGCAAGTGCAGGACCTCATTATACACAGGCCCCTTTGGGAAAGGCATGTATAACAGGTAGCTCTCTCCACAAGCCCAGCAGCGGTGTGTTTATCAATTTAGACTCAGCATTATTGTCAGTATCTTCTGCAGATGGCAACAGCTTGTTCCATGTGAGAGGAATGGGAAATTTCCCAGCACACTGATGCCCTGATGTACAAGTTTAATTGAGACACCTTTAGAAGGACTCTGTCATTAATTAAGAATCACAGTTCCCCTCAGGATATTGATGCAGGCTGTGCTTACAATGTGTGCAAAGCCACGACTCTCAGAGAAGTGTTTGGAAGAGTAAACAAGAGGCACGTGGCATCCTGAAATCCTCCACCTGAGGAAAAATCAATGTTGCTTTCCTTGCAGCGCTTACGAACATCAGCACCCAGCAGACAGGAAATCTTACAAAAGGAAAGAGCAATGATTTAACAGATCATTATCTGTATTCTGTAATGGACATACGGCCCTTTTGGCTGGGCAGCATGGACATGAATTAGTAACCATGGCCCCAGTCAAGGGTATGCCTGCCAGTCACTTTCCTTGCCAAGGCTTAAATGCTGCTGAGATGGTCCTTGCTAATGCATCTAAATGGCTTCAGGAACCCAGCAGCTCTCCAGCACGGCTGAGCTGCCATATGACTGTCTGCATCTGACCACGTAGCTGCTTCCTGTGATAAGGGACGGGTTGTGCTGGCATCTGCCTGTATGCACAGGCTGTGACGACTGCAGCCAGAACAGCCAAGTGAGGATCTTTTCTGAGAGGCAGAGACTTGCACAAGGTCTCACAGTTGTCTCATTTCCCATTTGTCCCCTCTTGCGAATGTGGACACCTGGGCTGGGGCGGGTTCCCAAAATTGCACCCATGCAATCCTATCATCTTGGGTATATTTTTAGTGAGATGAGAAACAGTTCATGAGAAACCTGCAGGGTCAGGTGTCTTCTGCTAAAAATCTTGTGAAATGGAGATCTGAAAAAGAGCTAAAAAGCTTCAGGTATCCAAAGCTTGTCTGCTTTTCTTCCAGCTACATTCCCCGTCCCACAAGAAAATCTTGTTACTTTCATTCAAAGTCTGACTTCCCAAAGAGCAGAAAAAGAGATCCTGGCCCTAAATAACATTCACTTAAGCCTGTCAAAGACAGAAACTTTCTAGGGGAGGCAGTAGGAAACACTGAGCAGAATAATTTAAATCTTATCCTGCTGTGTTGCCGTGTTGCCCTCAAGGGGCTGCTGGGCTTCGTGACTCAAAGTCACCACTCGGAGGTTGGTTGGTGCTGCTGTCCTCGGGGGCTTTTCTCTGGGATGCAGAGAGCGGAGAGCCCTTTTTGGGGGTTTCAAGAGCCCATCCTCAGCAGCCTGAGAGTTGTCACAGCCACAAGACAGGGGTCTCTTTTGTGGAAGAAAGCAGTGTGAGAGACGTACTACTGAACCATCTTGTTGAGACTGTGTCACCCTGATAAACCACTGATCCAGAGATATGATACTGCAGCCTGGTGGCTCAGGTGTTTGCATGAAGAATGGATGCAGGTGTCAGTGATGGCATCAGGCCCTTAAGACTGGGCTGGGAGGAATGGTGGGTCAGCTGCACCTGAGCTTGCCTGTTTAGGAGAGGTGCTTCCCACTTCAGTTGTAGCTGGGTGGTTGAGTGGAGGTTGTGCTGCAAACACTAAAATGCCTGAGTTTTGGTGAGCACAGCCTTTGGTGTAAAGCCCCTGCTGAATAATCTAAAGACACAGCAGATGTTTCAGTGAGAGAGCAGCATTTCTTCCACTGGTAGATGTCCATGTGATCCAAAAGCAGAAGTTGAGCTATTGGGTGCGTTTAAGGTAAGCTGAAAGGTCTTCAATCTCCTGGAGCAGATTGTATTCTAAAGCTTTGGGAATGAGGTACCTAGATGGAGGGCAAGGCTTGACCTTGGTACTTGCAGTCCTTTTGGGGGGATAAAATTAGTAAAATAATCTAACTTCATATATTTGTACTATGTGATTCAAAGGTCTTTGCACTTCTCCCTGGTGACCAGCAATAGATCCAAAGGAATGGTGCAGAAATATGTTAGGGGTGGGTCAGGTTGGGCAGTGGTCGTGGTCCCAAGTTGCCGCAGTTCAGGAAGTTTAGGCAATGCTCTCAGATGTGAAGTTTGATTTTTTTTTTTTTTTTTTTTTTTTTTGGGGGGGGGGGGGGGGGGGGGGA